GGTCAAGCATTATAACAGACTACCTAGAAAAGTTCTGGATCTCCATCTCTGAACATTTTCAAGGACAGATTAGACAAACCCTTGGCTAGAATGGTTTGGTCAGGGATGACCTTGCCTTGAGCAAGGGGCTGGACTAGATGACCTCATGAGGTCTCATCCAGCCCTGGTTGTACAGGCTGGAGTCTACAGCCTGTCCGGCCTTTCAGAGATTCTTTTGGTGAGTCATATTACTTTCAGGGGAAGCACTCAGTTGTTCAGTTGTGGTAGGCCCAAGCCTATAGTTAGTCTGTGCACACAGAGTTCCTTTGACTTTGGTGATACCCCATGCAGGAGGCCACCTGTAACCACTTCTTCAATTGAACAATATGAAAGTAATAACAGTACATAGTTGGTAACAGCATTCATGGGGTGGGGACAGTCCTAACATTTGAAGCATTTAAAAAATGGAGCATTTCAGTCATGGACAGATGTACAGCCCATGGCAGCCCTCTCTCCCACTCCTGTTCCTCCCTGCTGAAGCAATTCAAAATTGCTGCGGCTGCTCTCCAGCAAAGGAGGGTAGGAATGACAGAAAGATGCAATGACTTGCAGCTCTGTTCCCTGTCAGACATAGTGGAGGAAGCAGAGTGGAGAAGCCCCTGGTCCTCCAGGGTCTGTGGCTCTTCACTCCCGTAATGGCACAGGGCATGAAGCCAATGTCAGTGAGTGCTCTCCTGCTCACTTTATCTCCACTGTCCTGGAATGTCCCTGCAATGTCCTCCAATCTCCCAGGTCCAGCAGGTGGGGAACTCCAGGAAAGCGCTCACTGTGGGGTGAGCACTCAAATGTAACAGGAAACTTTTCATTTTGAAGTGCTCTAAATAGTACCTGTTTCCTTGAGGGCTAGTTTTGGAGTGCTCCAAAGGGTATGGACATCTGTAGAGTTGTGCAGATGAACACATCCATAGAGGTGCTTCAGACATTACATCTGCCCCCGCCCTTAGATAGCAACTGGGTAAGTGACTCTTGCAGAAGGATTTGTGTACAAAAACTGAGGTCTGTGTGAGCGATGGAGGTTTTCACGTATTTGCCAGAGATGCCAGCAGTCTGTCAATACTGTATTTACTTGCATACCACATACACCCTTTCTCCCAAAAAATTACCCCTCCAAACTTGGGATGAATGTCTTAAGCAAGAAAACTGATTTCCACACCAGAATGGAGGAATAGGGGTGCTTGAATACCTGCTGGGGGCTGTGCTCCTTCAGCTGCGTGAAGGAGGGGCAGAGTCTACTCAACATCACTCACCTTCTTGTCACTCACCCTCTCCCTTCAGCTCCACCACTTGCAGTTTTAACCCTCTCCCAGCCACTGTCAAATTGGCAGTAGCTTTTGGCTGAGCAGCCCATTTGCCAACTATGAGACGGTTAAGCTTCTAGTGGTGGAGCTGCAGTGAGAAGTTGAATGATGCTGATGAGTTGTCTTCGCTGCTCCTCCATGTGGCCTAGGCATCCAGTCATGTTGCACCCATGCTCTGGCAAGTGAGATTGGGATGGGAGGTGGGGTGGAAAGGTCTTCATTCTGTCTTCCCAGAGCAAGGTGCATGTGTTTTTCAGCAGTGTGTGGTATGTGAGGAAACACAGTGATTCTAGCTCTCCCAGGTCTTATAATTCCATTTATGTTTCAGTATCCTGGCCAGTTCTGCTGTGGCAGCTGCTGAGTTGTGTACCCATTTCTTGGCTTGAGAATCTGAAGGATAGGAGGCCAGCTTAGCCTTCTCTTCTGTCCCATACATCTGCACTTTCCTCGGTTTTGTCCCTGCAGAGGAGACTAACATACAACATCTCTGTAAGAGTAGAGGAGTTACCACCTACTTGGTTTAAAAGTAATATCCACTGGCCAAGTTGTGCAGAGAGGAAAGCATGGTTGTAGGTACAAATCTGATTATTGGGTTTAGCCCAATTTCTAGCAAAGATGTAACCTGACTTCCATATATCATGACCCCCATTTTGTCCACAAAATGGGTATCTAATTTTAAACAGTTTGACCCTGACTACAGTACTCTTTTCCCTTTGTCCCTTCTGTCCAATTTTTGAATCCACTGTTGCCTCCCTTGTTCCTCTCCCTCTCTCCCCTATGTTCAACTACCTATTAATTTCTTTCTCCATTATTCACCTTTTCTGTTATCTTCTTAGCATTGAGGCTGCAATAGCTGGTGCTTTTCTCACCTTACACATAGGCGGTAACCGTTTTGGAGGAGAACCAGGTAGTAAGGTGACTCTGAGGCCTTCTCCCTGTTTTTTTAAGTCAGTGGAACTGCTGACAAACAGATAGATACATGTCTAAGTGTTCACAAGATCAGTTTCCCTTTATAAATGAGTTGAAAGTCTTGTTTTCATGACTTACTTTAATTATATAATTCAGAAAACATACCTGACTTATAATTGAGGGGTAGATGGCAATGTTTCCCATGCTTCAACCCTTCACGTTACCCTTTGTCTGCCCTTTGGCCACGCTCCTCAGGGCCTGGATAAACCTACTTCTCTTGGACAGTGCCTACTGGAAATGAATATTGATAACAAAATAATGTACTACACATGTAGCATGAAAAGTCTGAGACTTTGAGGGAATAATGAGCAATGCCAGTATTGATGCAATTCTTTTCCTTCAGTGGTTGGATCATCACTGGTTTTCTAGCTAAAAGGTTTCTGGGGTGTGTATGTGCCCATGCTTCTGGGGGAAGTGGAGTGAGAGAATGTATTTTAAAGAAAGTAGAGGAGCAGGCAATCTTGTTTAGCTGTCAAGAGCAACACAGTGGAAGGTGTATTTCATTTGGACTCTTCAGGGTAGACTTACAAAATGGGGAATTTCTCACAACTATATTTTCTGCAAGAAAATATGCTGAAACAGACACCTGGGAAGAGTTAGTAAAATAGCTTATTTTACTGTCAAAGGGAATGGCTGAATGTTTAGCTGTACATGCTTAGTGTTCTTTGATCTATTGGGTTTTTAAGATAGATCCTCTATTTTTTTTTTAATGCACGCAATCAATATTCTTTTTTTCTTCCTCTAGGGTTTTGTTCTAGCTCAGGGCAATGTGTGCTGTCTTTCTTAACCCCAGAAGGCTGTGCAACTGACTACTCAATTTCCATGTCCCTCCATTACCTCAAACACACAAATGTTTACTCTGCATCTGTAGCAAAGGCCACTGCATTGTGGTGGAATCTCTGATATCATTTAATTTTATACTTTAGAGAGTTCAGTACAATTTTAAGTTTCTCAACACAGAGTGGGGATGGTGAAACTGAGCTCCACATAGAGGAGGATAAGGCACCTTTAAAAATGACTGAAGGTATCATGGTCCTCAGATGCATTTATGCCTTGTAGGGTTTCTTTATGTTGAGTTCTGTACATGCCTTATTGGTGCTATACAAAAATGGATCTAAAAACTATGTGGAAGGTCAGTTAGGAGATCAAGAGATTAGAGTGAACATCTGCAGTTAAAGAAAATAAATGTGTATTTTTATTGAGATATATTTTTAAGAACCACCCTTAAACAGTAGGGTACACAGTGCTATGTTTGCATCACAGAATATGAGTCCTTTCATGGTTATTGCTTAAGTATTTTATTGGGTAAATGTGTTTTTAATAGGACATTACTAGGTATAGGTTGTGGGTAACCAAGCATCAGAACATGGATCTGACAGCTGCTTTTAATGACACCCAAGCCAGCTGCCTCTTAGTTCTTAGCTTACCAGAGTAGTCTAGTAATTTCCAAAGATACCTTCTGCTAATCAGTTTAAGTCAGGATCTCTTAACCTGTCCTTATATTGGAATTTATTAGCTCTCCAAATTCTCATAAGCCTTCCTTTTTTTATAGAGTTTTATTTTCATAGTCCAGAAGTGACAATTAGATGACCTATTCAGGGTCTGATAGTCTGGTCTGCTGACAGGATGCTGTGGGCAAATGAAAATCTGGTCCCTCTCCTGTGTTCTTTATTTGGGATACTGTGTTTATCACGTTTATGCCAACTCCTATCCAGAAGATTTCTTTCAAGTGTGTTCCTAAATGTAAAAGCTTTCCCAGTTCCTCACTCACCTAAGGGAAACTGAAGTTTAAAACTAAAATATTGCTGTTAATGCGATCAGAAGTGTGTTAACTTTTCTTTTTTAGTGCTGTTTCCTGTGATGTTTATGTTACAAGTAGTACTCTATTTTGAGTTTTATTAGTATTCATTCCATATTCTGTTGAGTAGTCTGCCATACATGGGACATTTTTATACAAATGAAATGCATAATATGCAAATAAAATAAATTTGTTTTCATTAAAATGACCTTTTTCCATAACAAAACAAGTATGCTTATTAAACATTTACAGCAGTACAAACTGCTTAGTCTGAAGCAGGCCTTAAAATCTGTATGGGCATTTGGTCACCTTGGACTCGGAAGAAAAAGGTTTTATATTTTGCAAATATTTAAACAACATGCCTTATAACAAAATCACTGTTGCACTTTTTTTTTTTATTCTTCCAGATTAATAAAACTTCAAGTCACTTCCGTTAACTAAAATTGTTTTTCTTCTGATTCAAACTGCTATCTGGAAACTACAAAACTCATTCTGGACTTGGCAGCTAGTGGCTACTGCAAACTGTACTTCCTAGTTTCCCCAACCCTTTCATACATTGTAATGACCACAGTTCTATTGACATACCATATTTTGTTTTATTGGTGCCCTGTTTACTAACAGTGTGGTGTGATAGGAAGCTTTTTATATATGAATCCATGTCAAAAGGTTTGGGGGATGATGGAACACAAAGTGCCCATGCTCAGTTGGCAGTGTGTGCGTGTGTCTTCCTGGTTTTTATGCTGTTTGCAAAAAAAACCCAAAAGGCTTTTGTATACTTTAGGAAATTCTTACATTATCAGAGAATTAAGTAATAATGGTAAAGGAAACAGATAAAGGCAATAAGCTCCCACTGACAGACACTTGGAGGCATCCACTAACACACTTTCTCTTTGAAGTATTTTCCCAGAATCCCTTCGGTGGCTGATGGCCACACAACAGTTTGAGGCATCCAAGAAACTTATCCTTCACTTCACTCACAAGAACAAAATGAACACTGAAAGTGATATCAAAGGAGTGATGCCGGGTAAGTAAAAGTGCCTGGCAAGTCAGGCAGTGGAAATCCAGACATGAAATAATTTTTCCCCCTCTTTTTTTTTTTTTTTTAAACAAATATCCACACATGGCATAACTGTCCAAAATTAAATAGTCATGTTACCATTTGTAAAATTACCCTATTCATTCAATCATTTTGTATTTGTTGAAAAACTCAGTAGCTGTGTTCAAATTACTTGGCTTGTTGACGAGTACTAGCAATTATATTCTCATCTTTCAGTGCCATGTGCTTTTAGAGATGCTGCATGATTAATTTCCTCCTAGCTACAGAGCATGGCATTAGCTTTTGTATTTCTGGACCTTGTCTCTTGGGAATATCAACAAATGAGATTGTGCCTGTTAGTATACAGATGCATTTATATGGTAAAGTGGCAGCCCCCAACCAACAAGTTGTAAGAAATTTCCATTCTGGCATAGATTCTGTTGCAGATCTAAAAACAGCGCCAATTTCCACATCTTGCAGTCTTGCACACCTAGTCCGTTCACTTCAAGTCACTTTGCATTTGCGCCATATTGTATTTTAGAAGTAATTTTTACTGCTAATGGTAATAAGATCTATTGTGGGGGTGGAATTTAAATCTGGTTGGTTTGGTCAGGCTTTTAAGAAGAGTTAGGCTGTTATTGTTGCAAGATTGTCACTGAAGCACTAATGTTATTGTCCCCCAGACTGCTTCAAGAAAGAGGGACTTTATTTGACTCCTTTTGTGTACAGTCATAAGAAAGGAGAATGTTTTCTGAGGCTCCTTCTTCTCACTGTTACACTTGTCAAATTCTTTTCAGGCTCCCCTTTTACTCTTCAAAGCTCTGGCAGTGCCTATAAATACGTACCTGAACTGTCAGAAATCAGGCAGTATGTTTTTAACATACTTTGTAGCTCAACTGTTCTGTGCTAAGGGAAGGTCTGCCTTCTTGGTGCATCTATGATCTGTGCCCATCACAGTACATTTCACCCCTAGACTGAAAGCTTCTCCAGAACTTCACAAGCATCTGAAATCCTGAATTAAGCCAACTAGCCTGTAAATTTACTGAAATGTATGGGGTTTTATGCTGGATAGTTGTACCTGAGGTGACTTTCATTGGCAGAGTGAAATCTGTAATACATTACAGTGAATGATAATCTTCCTCAGGGACTTGTACATAATCCTAGTTAAGATCTTTATTTTGTTGTTGATGCTTGGACACTGGTGATGTGCTGAGCATGGCACAGTTCACCCCACAGTTATAGTTGTTTGTGTTCATATAGTTGTACCTTCTGAGTAAAAATCATAGATTATAGTCAGCAGATGTGCCTTATATCTGTGATAGGAAAATGGTTCCAAGAGTGCTTTTGGGGTTGTAAAACCAAGTAAGGGAATAGGTGGGCACCCATAAATCTGGAAACCTTAATTGTCATAGAATCATAGAAGTAGGATCGGAAGGGACCTTGTAGATCTTCAAGTCCGACCCCCCCCTGCCTGGGCAAGAAGAAAACTGGGCTCAAATGACCCCAACCAGGTAGGCATCAAGCCGCTTCTTAAAGACCCCCAGGGTAGGAACCAGCACCACTTCCCTTGGAAGTTGGTTCCAGATCCTAGCCACCCTAACTGTGAAGTAGTCCTTACGGATGTCTAATCTAAACCTACTCTCCAACAACTTGTGGCCGTTATTCCTTGTTATCCCGGGGGGTGCTAGGGGAAACAAGATCTCCCCCAAACCCTTCTGGTCCCCCCTAGTGAGTTTATAGATGGTCACCAGGTCCCCCCTCAGCCTTCTCTTGTGAAAGCTGAACAGGTTCAGGTCCCGTAGCCTCACATTGTAGGGTCTGCCCTGCTGTCCCTGGATCATGCGGGTGGCCCTCCTCTGGACCCTCTCAATGTTGTCCACATCCCTCTTGAAGTGGGGTGCCGAGAACTGGACACAGTACTCCAGCTGCGGCCTGACCAGTGTTGCGTAGAGGGGGAGGATCACCTCCTTGGCCCTACTTGAGATGCACCTGTGGATGCACGATAGGGTCCGGTTAGCCCTGCCGACCATGACCTCGCATTGTCGGCCCATGTTCATCTTGGAGTCAGTGATGACTCCAAGATCCCTTTCTGCCTCCATGCTCTCAAGAAGGGAGTTTCCCATCTTATAAGTGTGTTGCCCGTTACTACTGCCCAAGTGCAGCACCCTGCACTTGTCCGTATTGAAACGCATCCTGTTTTTGTTAGCCCACCCCTGCAACCTATCCAGGTCTTTCTGCAGTCTTTCCCTCCCTACTAGCGTGCCCACCTCACCCCAAATTTTGGTATCATCAGCAAATTTGAACAGGTTGCTTTTCACCCCGTCGTCCAAATCGCTGATAAAGAAATTGAACAGCGCAGGCCCAAGGACCTAGCCCTGGGGGACTCCGCTGCCCACTTCCCCCCAGGTTGAATATGACCCGTCCACCACCACCCTCTGAGTACGACCCTTCAGCCAATTTGCAATCCATCTGACTGTGTAGGCATCAATGCCACAGTCGCCTAGTTTTTTAATGAGGATAGGGCGGGAAACAGTGTTGAAGGCCTTGCTGAAATCCAGAAAGACTACATCCATGGTGACACCTGCATCCAATGCTTTTGTGACCTGATCGTAAAAGGCAATCAGGTTGGTCTGACATGACCTGCCCCTAATGAAACCGTGCTGGTTGCCCTTGAGCATCCTCCCCGATGCCGGCCCATCACAGATGTGCTCCTTGATGATGTTCTCAAAGAGTTTGCCCAGGATTGAGGTAAGACTGGTGGGCCTATAGTTGCCTGGGTCCTCCCTCCTCCCTTACTTAAAGATGGGGACCACATTGGCTATCCCTTACTTGATCCCTTACACATCCAAAGTATGCAGAGAACCAGGCAGGAAATACGGTTTCTGATTGTTCAGTTAAATATGCTGCCTTATAATGCACATGGGTCAAATTAAGGGTTCACGGCCAACTGTAAATGTGGCTTATCCCAACTGTCAACTTCTCGTATGTGCAACCTAACTTTCTCTCCGCATTTTTCTCTCCTAGGTTTTTTTTTTTTTTCATTTTTTCAAATAGAAAGATAAAACCATTCTGCTGCTTACAGCTATAACCTTAGAAGACATTTTAACCTTCAGTTTTTAACTGAAGATGAACTGTTAAGTTTCAGAACAGTTTCATGATTGTCGCTGTGCATTTGTGTAGCTGATTGTTTTTTGCTTTTTTTTTTTTTTCTGGCAATAGTTCTATGGATGTGACATACAAAGATGATTCCCTGCTGCTCATAGTAAAAAAGGAATCCTTCCCCTCTGTGCAGGACTAGGAGTGTTATCCTGTCTCTCTGGACTGTGGTTTTGGGTGTCTAGATACATCCATACACAGCAGCTGTCACTAAATGCAAAGGGTAACATCAGTGACAAGCTTAACTGAGATAGTATTAGGATAGCGATAATGTCTGTTCCTGCCTCCCACCAGTGCTAGCTCTGTCTTTTCTCCACCCCCTTCTTAGTTTTTGTTCTGTTTTTAAACCATATTGGCGACCCCATATGTTTAGTTTTAGTTTCTACAGGTCTTGAAACCATGTAACAGAACATTTTGGAAGCATTTTTCTCTTTGTTTGCCTTTTGTTTTTCTTTTGTTTTTTTGCTTAGAGAAGTTGTGAAGGGTAAATGGAGTGAGTGAGTGGGGATGTCAGAGAAGTCCTAGTTCTGAAATGTGTAAAGAATCTTATCCAGAGATCTCTGACTATGCAGGTCAGTAAGCAAAGGGAAACAGCCTTGATTTAGGTCAGGAAATGTGTATAATAAAAAGCAAACGTTGGCTGATCAATTTAGATTCCACTGCAGTAAAGCAGACAGTCTCTCAGTACTAGCATGGGGTAGATATTCTGTCTTTCCTTTTTTTCCCGTTGATGATCTATCCATCCTGTCTTAATTGCTGTGTGTCTTCCAGCTGGAAAGACTGAGAATTGCTTCATTCAGTTTCAGTGTACAGGCAACGCTGTTTCACTTAGTGCTATTACAGTCATTTTAAATTGATATCTGATTTCACTTAGCGCTCAGTGAGTTTCGTTAAAACACTCGTGGTTGCCATCTTGGGTCACTAAAAACAATTGTGGTCGCCATCGTGGGTCGTCAAATACTTTCAGTTTTTCTTAATGCTCGGTTTTTCAGGAACCAGTTAAGAATGCTAAGCAGGACTTGCCTGTATTGGCACATCACATTGTCATAATAGCCCTGCAAGAAAGAATTACATGATATATCCAAGTGATAAACTATTTCCTCAGCTCCCTTTTAGCTGAAAAGCCTACTTGAATTCAACTTAAAGGTTTCAGTCAGATTTGTATACATTGTATCACAAAGTATTTCAGCAGCTACTTGAGTCACACTGCATACCATTTTGAGGCTGCAGATTGTTGGTCCCCCTTTTTTTTTTAATCATAGAAAATTGGTGTTGGAAGGGACCTCAGGAGGTCATCTAGCCCAACCCCTTGCTCAGAGCAGGACTAGTCCCAACTAGATCATCCCAGCCAAGGCATTATCTAGACAGGTCTTAAAAACCTCCAAGGACAAAAAGTTCACAGCTTCTATAGGTAACCTGTTCCAGTGTTTTACTACCCTCCTAAATAGGTGAAACTGTTTTTCAATGAGGAAAAACTTAATCTTCAATTCCAGCCTAAACAGTGAACAGACTCTGAGGTCTTTCAAAGATTCATGGTATTCCAACTACATGGTGCAATTTAACAGCTGCCCATTTGCTGATGATGCTGCAGCTAAAACTGCTTCATTTAATCTAGATGCAAAAGCCCATTGCTGTGTAGTAAGATAGCTCACAGAAGGAAAAGAGGTGGAATGGATTAAGCACACACATACACCCTGAGAATTTGACACAATGGAGCTCAGGGGAGGAACAAGAAACTTTGACACACTTTCTAGGGATATCTCGCTGAATCAAAGAATGGAGTTTTGACAGTGATCCTGTCCCCACCTGCACGTGTGCAGATATGGATGCCC